CTAGAACATACTTTTTACCATCCAACCATAACACTTCTTCTTTTATCAAGAAACCTTCCTTAGCTACTGAGGGAACACACGTGCATTGACCAGCATTGACCTTTATTCCTGTGGACAATGAGGAATGTCTTATCGTGTGGTAGAACTATACATCACGGCAACATGGAGTAGTACTTCCTACCCAAATAAGAAAATGTTCAGCAAACATGCTGTAGATATTTGTTCAGTTGTTCTGTTATGGAAAGTGTTCATCCCAGTCAATTATTTACAAACACCCACTTGGTAGTTTATGTTACCCATCTTACCAAACCATCAGACCGCAAGTAATAAGGTGAAGTACACATATTCACAACTCTCAACACTTTATAGAATTTAGCAAACAGTTGGCTGTGGAAATTAGCTACCTGATTCATGTAAATGTTTCCTGTGCCCCAAATCTTGCTATTCATTTCTCTACCAACATGTCAATAATGAACTGTGTTAATATATATACCACTGGATAAGCTTCAGGCCACTTCATGAAATACTCGATAATGATAAGTATGTATCAATAACATCTTGCAGTTTTTGGGAGTAGACCAGTATTATCCAGAGCTATCCAATAATTCTCTGTTGCAGCTTACACTGTCTTGGTCAGTTCTTTTTCTGGGCTGTACATACTGTACAGTATCTACAAGATTATCGAATATCTTGACATACATTTGGCCAAAAGAACTGCTATGAAATGTTAGCATAAGGGTGAATCATATCTTCTTGCCTTCCAATCTTTTTGTTAGGCAAGTTCTGCCGAATTTCATGCTGTAGAACTCTGTAAATTACTAGTTGCACCACAGTTGAAAAACTACATCTCAGTGATTTATAGCACACCTTTCTGCACTTGTAACCGGCCATACAAGTGCCATAGGTTGCGTTCACCCATTCTCTACTCTTCCATTAGTACTGGTCGGGCTTTACTTTTGTGTATGGCAAGGAATGTCCATGCTAGGTTGGGGTCCTTCAACTGCTCTGCCTGTAACTCCTAAAGTGTTAATCATGGCATCCATCGACCAATGGAATATCCTATTTCATGGCTTCCCTTTGCTGGGGGTGAAAATAGCTATGATTTCAACTCCCACGATGGTTTCCAGGATCAGGACATTCCACAAATGAACAATATTTCAGCATAGGGCGAGATGGTCCATCTACATTTCTAAGATGTGGGCCTGGATGATGCATTATGACCAAGTCATGTTCTTGCAACCTTGTAATCCAACATGCTATCTTCTCTTCTGGTCGTTTAAGGCTCATTAGCCATTTTAGCACAGCATAGTCTTCCCAGACAGTGAACATCCTACCATATAATAATGGCTGGAGAATTTGAATCCTACCATATAAGTAGTGGCGATAGTGTGTTACAAAGACTGCAACTGTAAGTAGCTCTTTCTACATCATACAATATGTGCATTTGGGAGCCAGAAGCATATAACTTAGCATACATGATTTAACATTTTGCTCCATCCTGCAACACTGATAACATTGCTCCAATTCTTAAAGTCCTGTCATGGATAGACTGGAATTGCAGCATCCTCTAAAGCAAGCTGTGGGGATTTGAATGCTTAGTCACATTCCTCACTCCATCCAAAGAATGTCTTGACTTTCAGGAATTCTGTCATCTTGGAGAAGTCGGCTGCAAGTCATTGTTAACATGATATGAAACTGAGGAAACTGTGGACTTTTCACTTGCAGTTATCTTAGCTAGATCCATAAAAACTCCACCTCTCCATAAAACGTCACCAAGAAATTCTACTTCCGTGAAGATGAGTGAGCACTTTCCAGGTTTCAATTTCAAGGCTGATTTATTTATCCATTGGAATACCATTCTCATGTTCTCAGCCACAGACTTCAAAGTGCAACCAAACACCAAATAATTGTCGATGTAGACCAGGCATCTTTTACATTCCAGTTTCTCCAGTGTAAGCTCCCTTGGCATCTCGATCATGGCACGTGTATTACACAGATTTAATGACATGTAACAGAATTGATAATTTATAAAAGTTATTTCTTATCCTAAAAGCAGTCTTAGGGTTGCTTCCATTGTTCAGCATAATGTGCCAGTATATGAATGTCGGTTCCAAAGTGATGAGCCAATGGAAACCTTCTGACACATGGCAGGAAAAGGAAGGCATCAATGCTAGTTATCTCGTTCACCCATCTAAAATCAATACAGGACCTTAGTGTTATCTGCCTGAAATGCTCCAGGAAATGGTTGAGATCTTCTTTCGGTGTACCTCTGAATACTGGGGTAAATCTGCTTGTCTTCACTCAGAAGGGCCTATGGTTTTTGTTTTCTTGGAAAATATCTGGTTGATATGCTTCCAGTGTTGCAGGTATCTACTCGTACATGCCAATACCTGGATAGTAAATCAATTCCTGGTTCAGGGCAACGAGGTATTTGCTGCAACTCATCATACAGCCCTGCTTGACCACACATGTCATCAAAAGTTATGGCTGACATTGCTGGGTACTTCTCTGCTCAGAAAGATTCACTGTCCTATGGTTCATGAGTGCTTGCTGATTCATCTGCCAGGAAAACTATTCTTCCTGGCAGATGTTGTTCAGCAGTGTCACATTCAGCTCTGTACTGGTCATTGGTGGTCTGGACCAGAGCTAGAGCTGCAGTACTCTAGCTGTTAAGAACCTGAGAGTTCTCTAGAGACCTCCTCAATTGGTTTCAGACTCACCACACACCAATCTGTATCTATAATCCTCAGTCGTTCCCTGGGTGCTTCAGATATCAACATATCTTTCTGAGTCTAAAGTTGTAGGCTGATCAATGACGGGAACCTTCACAATATGAGCAAAAGTCCTTTGTCCAGGAGAGGATTTCTCCTGCACTTGGTACCTTCTTCATACAAGTGTCTCTCTGTTGGTCATGAATACTTCTACTTTGAGACTAAGCTATTCTTTTAGTTATGTGTTTTCCTTTAAACTCGTTCAAACACGGGCGATCAAGAAAGGACAATAAACACATTAACAAAACAATAAAGTCCACAATAACTTAGGTCCAAAATTTGGCCATGTCACCAAATTTCTCCTTCCTATCTACTTGTGGTATTCTCAAATAAACTGATATCCATGTAAGAATCAGATAGATCCATTTAATAATGGAAGGACTGAAAATAACATTTACAAAATAATTTGGATTTTAAAAGCAAATGAGTTTTAAGTTGTGTATGAGTTGTTGTTTGTTTGTTTTTATAATTAAGCACAAAGCTACACATTGGGCTACCTGGGCTATGCCCACCACGGGTATTGAAACCCGGTTTCTAGCATTGTAAGTCTGCAGACATATTGCTGTGCCACTGTGAAGCATGTGTATGAGAAATAAGGTGACTGGGCACATGTCATATAAAGTTAAACAATCTTTATTACAGACAAAGCCAAAACAATGTATGTACTTGATTATACAAATAGGCCATAGCCTCTACTACATTAATGAATTAATCAGCAGATTTCTTTCTTACCTTTCTAAAACTAAACACCTGAATAACCAGGTAGAACTGAGCAAGTACATAGGCTCAGTTCTTGCAGTAACCTCATATTCTTTTTTGTGATAGCGGTACCACATGACTGATCACTCTATCACAACATTCATGGGCTGTAACATAACGACATCATCCACTTGGCCAGTGACAAAACATTGCAGTCGTTGACTCATTTTACACTAATGTGCTAAGTTGCTTCATCATCCCCATGGTCATAATAGATGCCGCCTGCTATCGAGAACAGCAAAAACGTAAAGGCAAACAGAACAATTTCAAGAGTTTTTTTTTCTTTCTTTTTTTTTGGGGGGGGGGGACTATGCACTTGTGCTAGGATTGCATAGAAACAGACTAAACGAATTATTTTTACTTCCTATATTACTAAATATAGTGGAAATCACATGCCATGCCCGCTTATTCCAGCAATTCTTAAGATGGCCTTGCTAAAGAGAGCCCAACAGCCAGACTTAAACTCTGGCTTATGAAGAGAACAAATCAAAATTACTAATTCTTCAAAATGAAAAATGAATTTAAGAAATGATAACCTAGAATGATAGGAAATTATATATAAGATATTTAGTTTAAAATCTCTGGTATGTGATAAATGCTTAGACTTGTGTTGAAATATGTAAGATTAGGAAAACTGTAAACAAAGTTATTTTATATTCTATAGCGAATATGTTAAATTGTTAATTATGTGAATGTGATCAATACGAAGTCCACGACCACACTGTGGTAAACGATTAATTCAGTATGACTTTTGGTAGTTTCCATTAGCTTATTGACCGAATTTCTTAGTCTCTAAGAATTCACGACTATTTTCAACCCTTACTAATTCACATAAAACACTTCATCATAGTGCTTACTGATAGCAAACCATTTGATGTCCGGAAAAATAATAATTATTGTTATTATCTCAATTATTCCATTAACATAAAATACAGATTACTATGTAACGAGGCTAACCGACAAGAAAGAAGTTTTCATTTTTTAAACTTTTGTGAACACAATACTGAAAAGAAGTACAATTTGTTAATTCTAGAAAACACTTTGACATTAATAAAGTAAAATTCGAAATGTGAATTGAGCGTAATTCTAAAACCGGTTGAAACATTAAAAAAGTAAGATAATTAAAAAATTAGGGAATTTAGAGCTTTTTCCTTCTGATAATTTCCAAAAATTTTTACTTGTAACTAGCTTAGCGTAATCGTTATTCTCAGACCAGGCTTAAAATGACGTCAATTTGTCGTAGTAATACATGATTTTTACCTATACACGTGCAAAAGATCTAGTTAATTTATATCTTGCCCAAATAGATAGTTTATTAACTACTTTTTGATATTTTAAAAAAACTAAGCGTAAAAAATAAAGTAATTTAATATCTTTAACCTATATATTATTACTATTTTTATAAATTACGTCTGGTCTATTTTATAAAGCGAATGAATGCTAATGATTTGTGACCGTTATCTGTTTATCACAATTACATCAAAGCTCTTTGTGTTGAAGAAGACAACCGGTAAGCGACGTTGCATTATTGTTCAACTTGTTGTAAGGTTTGTGAATAGTAGTTAAAATTATTTCAGAAAGATCGAAATTTATTCTTTCTCAACACAGAATTCAATGTCATTCAGAGGTAGATCTGGAGATAGGGGGTAAGTCGTATTTAAGTTATTAGCATGTAAAATGAAAGTAAGAAGAATGCCTTTATTATCTATTAATATTATATATATATGTTATAATAAATAATATATAGTCAACCTCGCCTATGCATAATGGCTGAAGTAAATCGGTAAATGATGAATCTGCTGGTGGCGTAGTTGTATGGTCGTATGACTTGTAGTAGTACTAAGAGTCTTAAGTAAGACGTAGCAGTAGCAGGAAAATCGATCCGTTGTGCAGCCATATTCAAAATTTTCATTTGTGCAATTGTAGAAGATTCTTTCAATACGTAATTTCATTTAATAAAATTTTGTAACTAGATAAAATAAATCCATTTTAATCTCAGTTACTGATACATACAAAAAATATATTTAATCGTTGTTATAATTATGTCATATTACAGCTGCATAGTCTGAACAAGAATATCAAAAAAAACACTGGCCCCTTTTCAGATAGTGTTTTTTATATTTAGAATGATAAAAGGGCACAAAAACCTTAGGCTTAGGAATATTACTTATGAGTATTACTTGGTAAGAGTAAATACCCATGGGATGAAAGGGGGATTAGTGGACCCCTCTGTTGTTTAAAAAGTGCCTATTTTTTGTTTATATAGACACCCTATAACACTCATCCTAAAGTCCTAGGGGGTCTAATTTTTTGAAAAATTCATAATGTGGTTTTGAGGTGCCTGATGATAATGAAGCTCTTATGCAAAAATGTGAGCCTAACAGAACTTAGGTATACCACTCTCTTTTTTTTTAATAATTTTAGTACAAAATTTTTAGTGTGGAGCAATATTTTCCAAAAAAAAAAAATTAATAAAGTATCTGATTTTTTATGATTGAAAATAATATTTATTACACTGTTTATTGCTGATCGTAATGCCACATGTCTTAGGGATTTGAGAGAGAGCTTGGAAAACTTGCAATGCAGCAGCATCCAGTGTGCCAAAAACATGACACAGATTGTCAGAATTTAAACCAAAACTTGATGCACTTCAAATTTTTATGTCAAAACTGAAATCTTCAAAATCTGATTTATCAGTACTGGTTTTGTGGGATACTTTAATTGAAATGACTGTGGTTCTTTTATGCTTCCTCCATGCCTGTGGGGAGGGCCAATGTCTAAAATACCTTACTGAAGCTGGGAATGTTTCCTTACAGCATTGCAGCTGGTCACCATAGATATGGCATGGCCCTTTTTCTTTACCTAAAAGAGATGAACATGGGTAAATGAGTACAAATGAACAAGTGTTCCATCTCATTTCCATGCAGATGGAGATATCAGGCATGGTACTAAATTATGCCTGATGAAAATTCTAATGGAAGAAACAAATGGAAACTATCAGCTGAGGAAGAAACAACAGCTGTTAATGTGGATGCTGTGCATGCAATTCACAAATGATCATTTATTCCAAATGAAATATTTGGTGTATAAAAAAAAAAAAAAGTACAGAACTAATCTCATGTTTGATGTCCCCTATCACAGGCATATTTAACTTTTGCTATAATTGGTATGACTGCCAGTCAAGCTTAATAAAATCTATTCATGTGTTTACTATGCTTGATAAACTAAAGAAAAAGTCATTTAAGCATCCACATTTCTGTTGTCAAAACTTCTAACTATCTACGATGAATATTCAAATACATATAATTTTCCTCTTGGCATAAACAGATTAAAAAAAAGTAACATAGACATCTGAATTTCCTTTTAATTTTCTTAAGAAACAAAAACACCGATTTCCATATACTGCAAGTCTTAATCAGAGAAGTATAGTAATGATTCCTGATTAGAGGTTATTAAAAGTGTTATCAAGTTCTTTAACAACTAGCTCCTTAAAATGGAATTTGCCCTTCCAAAATTTCATCTTTTCCAAGATGTTAAGACTTATAAAATTCTGTACAAAATGTGTTCACATTGAGATTCATAAAGTTCTCTGTAAAGAATGTTCACAGTGAAATTCTGTGGTATGATTTTTGGTTATTTCAAAATGTATAAATAAAACCTAAAAAGATTATCTCCTTTCACATCCTCCATCTGCAAAATTTGATAAGGCACAGCAAACGAATATAAGAAATAATTGTTTGCTTTACTTCTTTATTTATTTCTGTGTTATAATAAAAATAAGTTTAAGAATTTATTTGTAAATAGTAATAATGTATGATAATTGAAATGTGACTGTATTTTACCAAAACATTGTCCACTAAAACACAGCCAAGACATGTCACTTTATAAAGGCCAGTTTTATATTATTGGATATGGTAACATAAAGCCGCATGTGCCTGCGTGTAACCTCTAATGTTAGTCAGACATGGCTGAAAGGTCAATAAAATAAAAAATATTAAATATATGTAATGTATAATGTTATGAAATTTAAGTTATGTAGAATATACATTTGTTTGTTTTTTTTAGTTACGATTTGTAGTCATTCTAGAATGAAAAAATTATAATTTAGATCTATTTCCTAATTTTTTATGATGGTTACAAGCTTAGTTAAATTGAACAAACCTGTACAGAGATAAAATAGAGTAAACAACATACAAGATATAAAGTTTTTCTGAAAAAAAGCTCTGTGTTTTTAGGTTTTAGAGGAGGCTACACAAATGAAACTTGAGATTTTTGACACAAAGAATAGTATTTTTAATCCTAATTTAAAATTCATTTTGCACTCTGGCTAGTCAAAAATAAGATTCAACATATTCACGGAAAAAATGTAGTAAAAATACTTAATTAGAAAACTGATTTTTTGGATACAAATGACATGTAATATTTACTAAAAATCTACCAAAATTTGTGAAGATAAACACACTGTATTAACAGTTATAGTATGAAAACTATAACAAGCACAAAATGAGGTCAGTTCCTGGGACTGAGCCCATAGTGAGAGAATTAACACCAGTGCTACCCTAGCCACCAATTCACTAAAGTTGTAGCAGGGAATAGAAGCTGAAAATTGTAAATTGTTTATGCCCTTTTAAAGCCTTATCTGCTCCATCATGGATTATATACTTTCAGTTATCAGTAGTAGTGTTACCTGGCTAGACCAGACTTTTTAACACTAGTCACAGTGTGTACGTAGCCACTGCTATCAATGCTTTATTACACCTCACAAGCCATGGCACCATCATAGAAACAGTGTAAAGACAATGCATTCTACTTCCACATTGTTCCTGTTGACAAACAAAGCAGGGTATTTTATAAAAGGCACCTCAGGAAACAGATAGGAAAGGATAATGTTACACAGCCACTACTAGAATCAGAAAAGAGAGAAATTATTGAAGCACAAATATCCTATCATAATCTATTTAAAAACTATGATGGACAGTCACTTGTTATCATAATCACATATGGTTCTTATTTCCAAGAGAACTGGTTGGTTATTTATTGTCTTGCATAGCAACAACATTCTGCATAAAGCTATTGGAACATTCGAGTTTCCCACAAGTAACAGAAGGATGGAGCTGGAAGTCATAAAGCCAGTTCTTCTATGGATTGCTAAAACTGACAGACTGCATGATTGACCATTCTTCAACTCTCTCAACCCGGGCTTGGTCCTTGTTATAGTTTTCATGACAAAAATTTTAAATTAGTTAGCGAATGTTAACGAAATTTGGCAGTTTATCAGTAAACATTACAATGCTTTCATACGCAAAATATAATTATTTTTTTTTTCATTAAGTCTTAATGTTTGTAAAG